CCCCAAAACCCCAAAACCCCAAAACCCCAAAACCCCGGCAGCTATTTATAATAAAAGAATTATTAAATAAAGATAAAAATCAAGAATATCAAGCCTCATGATAAGTTAATATAATTCCTCATTGAATCAAATCATTTTTCAATGGCTTAATGAATTCTCAGCATTTAAAATAACATTCTCAGCTTGTGGTGGAACAACTTCATTAAGATTCAGTTCCTTTCCAAAGTCGTCAACCTTATTATAGATAACGACCCTTGAAAAAGAAGAGGAAATCCACAATCTTGAGTCATCTGAAATCTTATAGCATCCACAGTAGTTAACTCTTCTAAAGTTCTCTGACCTATAAGCGGTACAGAGCTCCAAGAATCCCTCATTCGTTATCTTGTAGCATCCCCACTATTTATATAATATTATATAAGTCAATTCTTACAATAGATAGGTCAACAAGCTCAGGGAATAAGTTGAATGATATGCTTTTCATCGCACGGTTCTAAACTTATAAAATAATTAATGTCATACAGTAATTTGTTTGAGATCGGCAATATTGAGATGTTTAAGTTTTGCTAGTGTTTCATGTCTATTGAACTATCTGTATCTAGAGAATTCATCTGTGGGTTCTTAGCCATTCCTCTTTTCCTTGATTCCGGATAATCCTTCACATAGCTGAATAATACCCTTGTCTGTTAAATTAGAGCAGGCTCTTAGTTCGAGACTCAGGAGTGTCCTAGAGAATCTTGAACCTAAAACGTCTACTACTTCGTCACTATTAAGAAATAAATCAATCATTTAAATTACTCCACAGATTTAATAAACGATATGTTAAGATGAGCAACTTGATCACAATTTTATATAATCTTTAATATTTATTCTTTGGTCATAGTCACAAATCCTCTTAAATTTAGAATTTATATCTGTGAAAATCTCTTTGAAAGTCCGAATATTTCAGTTACACATATGGCAAAACTTGTAGCTTCAAAGGCTGAGAATAGAATCAAGGGTCTCTATAAATTATATTGAGCCTTTAGAATTTACTTTGAATCCTTTGAATTAGGTAGTGTTTAGTACATCATCCTGTTACAAATATTATCTATGAATTTGGAATAAATTCGTTTCAGTATTGTAAAAAAAGCAAGAGTGAAAATCAAAGGGCAATGATCTGAAATCTTCTCTTAACACATTTATGAAATCTAAGATATGAGCTATAATAGTATCCTTCATAGATAAGTTATCTACTGTATCGTTATAAACTTCCTGAATTAGAATATTGATAAATATGATAATCTTACATAATATTCTTTGGTTAGATATTGTAAATCTTCATCAAAGACGAATCTAAACGATTCATCATCTTTCATCTTTTCCATGTATTCTATTCTTTGCTTAGTGAAATTTCTATAGAATCCTCCAAGTACATAGGCCCATTATTCTGTCTAATTTATCTATTAGAGCGCAGGATCTGACAAAATAAACATGAGAAGATCTGGGCTAAGGTTTTCATAAATCTATATAAGATTTCAATTTTCTTAATTTACTTACATCCTCTAATTGATTCTCAGCCAAATTATCTATATAATGTCTTCTAACATTAGTATATTTTTGAAATTCATCTTTTTTCAATATTTCTAGTGTAATCTGTACTTTCATCTAATCTAAACCAAGGTACTCTGCAGTTTCAAATAGATTCATTAGCACATTGAACTGCTGTGGCATTTCAAATTTATGCTTCTCTGGATCGTCAATGTTATAAAGGTACTTTATAACTGTTTCAAGTTAGTCACTGTTGATATTCTAAAGGTAAATGCCATCAGTAGTTGAGATTAAGCTGTTGTAATCTTCATCACTATTATCCTTGATTTGCAATGCTCTCATTATTTGCTCAATAATCCTATTTTCTTCTCTCTCGGTTTCAACCTCCTCTTCCTCTTGTTTACCATCACCTATTATAGTAGTATCATTCTCATCTTATTTATTTTCATCGACTTCCTCGCATATTTCATTTAAAAGATCAAGAATTTAAATCTTTTTACCCCTATTGCCAACATTAAGATCTCTTTTAAGTTATTAATCAGCTTCATTAGCTGCTGATTCATCTGCATCTAACTCGCCTTGAAGTTTTCTCTGGATTGTTCCACTTGATAAATAGTTCTTATGATGGCCACCTGGAGTATTTACTTTTGAAGAAGTCATGCTCATAGACACATCCATAGAATCCTCATGTGATCTCTCAGATATAGTTTTAACCTCTAGCTACTCCATATGTTTCAATTATCTTATTTATTACTGCATTTTGGCTTTATTTGCTGTTAACTACTGTGCTTACTCTATCTAATCATTAATATCTTCAAAAGGTTAGGTACTATTTGCTCCTGGTGACAACATAACTAATTGTGTTGATATTGAGATTGCATCCCCTGTTTAGTAATTTACTGTTAGCTCCTAGGTTTTCGCTAATGGATCTTCATTTTGGTTTTGCACTAATTTCTAATCGAGTTTTTAAGTAGCCTAAGTAGCCATTTAAATATCTTTCTTAATATCAAATACAAGCTATTGGAAGAAGTTCTTCGGTTCATCAACATTCTCACCTCTCAATGCTTTTTTATAATCCACATTCTTCTTAATATATTTCCTCTTTAAACTTTGATTCATATCTGACATTATTTTTAGCTATGCCTTCTTGCCATCTATTTTCTCAAGTATGTCTCTTCTTGAAATGCCAAATTATTCAATATTCCTTCTAATTGCTGTTGAAAACATATCAATCTTAATTTATGTAAAATTTCTCTCTTCAATCGCATCAAAGTACAACTGGCCAAGATTAGTAGGTAGGTCTGAATATTTCTAGAATGATGCTTAAGCTTGGTTTTTAGAGTCAGCCCCGAATTTTTATTCAGGATTTGTAAAGTTTTTAAAGAGAATCATTCAGAATTACTCTTTTTACTTTTCATTCTTGTTGAATTTAAAGCGCTTTGATTCTAATTTCCATAAAATTTCTTTTTTTTACTAAACCAATTTTTCCTTTGCATTCAATTTCTTGCTAGGAGTAGTATTATTATTTTAATTATTCTGATTCTGTTTCAATTATTTTAATTACTATCTCTGATATAAGTCATCTTACTGGGATTAATAATCCTACCATGTTCTCTATGACTTTTTAAGTTCCTTCATTTATTACTATAATCATTTTGTTATACACAAAATTATGAGATTTGCCTTAGACTTACAATGATCTTAGTAAGGTTACCTGCATGCCCTAATAGTTAGTATCCACATTGAATCTCTGCCTCTTCAAGAGATATCTTTATTGATGATCTATAAAGGTACGTTTACGCTTAATTAAAACAATAATTTGATTACTGTAGAGATTCTTCGATATTGCTCGGAATAGAAGAAAACTCATTAGTCATTGATTACTCTGGGGACATCATTTAATAATTCAGATAAATTTAAATATTTATTCAAAATTTCACGAAATTAACTTCAATGCTTATTGAGGGGTTTTGGGGTTTTGGGG